ATTTGTTGCCAACATTTAAATCTCAAGAGAGTTTTACAGAAAAATCCAGATCGTTAGCTCCTCTTGAAAAATCAGATTTGTTATCAGAGGCCCACATGGCCACAACTGGTGGATGCCAGAGTCTGCCCAACCTGAAAAAGTTTCCCTGGTTGCCCTGATAACACAGTTCCTACCGCTCTGTTGTGTCCCCAACACATGTACTGTTATTTTTCTTGTAGGAGAATTAAGAGGAAAGAAAAAATATATTTTTTTACCCATATCTCTAAAGTGGAGGAAGAATACAGGGTGTGAGGTGGCCTGTTTTGAAACATACAGGAGAGAGCAGCCTTCTTTGTGGGAATGAGGTTTACTTTTATGGTTAACGTGCATACAAAGTATGTCTTGTCTGAAGAATTCAGCCCAAGATGCCATTGTGACCTGGTGCCCACGGGGCCCCTCTGGGGCTTTTGCGTTGGCACCTCGTTAGGAGCTTTCTACCCTCACCAGACTCTTGCTTTTCCATCAAGATCCAGCTGCTCTGCCTCCCCTTCCCCCACCCTGTTTTGTGAAAAGCAGCTGTTTTCCAAGTGCTGATTTCATTTCTTTCCCAGCCAAAGTTTGGAGGCAGGAGGGAAAGTGGTCTGGCAGGAAGTCAACATGCTGTGGAAGGAAGAAGACAACGTGGAAGAAGCAGATGCTGGGTGCAGGTCTGGGGCTGGAGTCTGAAGTGAGACCAGCCTGGGCTCTACAGATCTCTAGAGGCAAGAGCCCCCTGACCCAGGCAGGGCATGGGGCTCTGTGGAACTGGCTGGTCTCCTCGAGGTTGCTCTCAACCACTGTAGCGATGGGTGGATCACGAAGAGTCCTTTTCCTTGTAGTTTTTTCTCTGATGTAGCCTGAGAGGGGTTGAGAAAGACAGTGGGGAAAAAGAGGTGACATGCTAGAGGCCACAGTGACTGACTCACCTCCCCTCAACTTGGATCAGCGGGTAACTTTTCCGAACATCTATTTTGTGCCTCGACTGCACTGAGAATAAAAGGAGGTGGTTAGAGATAATCAAACACCAGAAGGTTGGTCAGCAAAGCACACCAGGCTCAAGATGGTGGCTCTGAGGAAGGACTGGTCCGGGCCAGAGAAGGCAGTGCCAACAACCAGTGAGTGCCCAGTCCCACTCCCCAGGGTCTCATCTTGTCCCCTGCAGCTACACCCAGCCACACTCAACTACACCCAGCCACACTCAGCTACAGTCAGCCACACCCAGCCACACCCAGCCACACCCAGCCACAGGCAGCAACCCGGTTCTTCTCAACTAGACCCCCCTCCCCTCCCAACCCAACTGAGCCAACATCCTTGACTGAGTCCTGGAAAAATTCCTTTCTCCTTAGTTATGCCAAAAAAGGGTTCAAATTTTCCAAAAGGGGAAGACCCAGAAAGCAGAGTAACAAGTAGTTTACAGAGTGCAGTTTTCTGAGCCCAGTGTGACCAGATGTCTCACTGAAGGTTGACTTGGCAGGCATGGTGTATGAGGTGTCTGCTCTTTGGTATTCCTTGACTCTGCCTGGCCTGGGGTGGAGGCTAGCAAACACAGGCAAACTTCTGAATGAAGATGCAGCTGGTGGCCTTCTAGGCCTGGCCCCGGTCCTTGTCTGGGAAGGGGCTTTCCACCCTCCTGCCCTGCCCTGGACTGAACCAGACCTCTCAAGCAGCCCCCTGGTCTTCTTGAGTCCTGTCCTGGCTCTGCCTCCTTGTATCAGGTAGGTCCAGAACTTCCTCCTTCACCCTTTTTCTGGAGGTCGATGGCCCCAGGCTCAGGATGGCCCACCTCTAGCTCTCCTCCCACCCCTTACCTCTCTCTGCCTGCCCAGTTTGCCCAAAGCACATTCAAAGGAGCTTAAAGCTGATTACATCCCCTGGAGCTGCCATGTCCTGTGAGGCTCTCCATGGGTGAGCACAGACCTCCTGGGGCTCCCTGTTTCCGAGCCTGCATTACCTTGTGGGGTCCCGTATGGCATTTGGTTTCTTTCTCAAGGGGCTGAACTCATCCTCAGGAGACATGGCTGACTTACCCAAGTGTAACAGCTTTAGTATTTTTCAAAATAGGTAATTATCTTAGTGTCCTAGTGCTGCTGTAACAGAAATACTACAAATGGCTGGCTTTAAAGAACAGAAATTTATTTTCTCATAGTTCTGGAGTCCGAATCAGGGTTTCAGCGTGTCGATTCCTTCCTTATAAGTAGTCCCGGGCGTTCCTTGATTCCTTGGTTTGTAGGCAGTCCTCACAAGGCATCTCCCCCGAACCCCGCCTCCTATGTGTGTCTCTTTGTGTCTAATCTGCTCTTTTTACAACTCAGAAGTGTTTAGATTTAGAATGCACATGTGATGGTTAAGGTTAGGAGATGTCAACTTGGCTAGGCCATGATTCTCAGTGGTTTGGCAGATATTATGTAATCATCCTCCATTTTGTGATCTGATGTGAGCAGCCAATCAGTTGGAAGGGGAGTTTCCTTGGGGATGTGGCCTGCCTCCAATATATATGGTTGTTCTGGCAAAGCTGTGTCTCTCTCCATCCTGCATTTGCCTCATCATCCTCTGACCTCCAGTTCTTAGGATGTGAGCCAGCAGCCTGCTGCCTGACCTGCAGATTTTGGCTTCGTCAGCCCCTGCTACCATGTGAGTCTGGAGAATCCTCCAGGCTGCCACCTGACCCACAGATTTGGGACTTGCCAGCCTCCACAATTGGGTGAGCTATTTTCTTGAAATAAATCTCTATGTATTTATCTGGAGCCCTGGTGGCGCAGTGGTTAAGTGTTTGGCCGCTAACCAAAAGGTCGGCAGTTCAAATCTACCAGCCGCTCCTTGGAAACAGTATGGGGCAGTTCTGGTTTTTTTTTTTTTTTTTCCGTTTACTTTTTAACACTTTAAAGAGGTCTTTTGCAGCAGATTTGGCCAATACAATGCATCTTTTGATTTCCTGACTGCTGCTTCCTTGGGTGTTGATTGTGGATCCAAGTAAAATGAAATCCTTGACAACTTCAATCTTTTCTCCGTTTATCATGATGCTGCTTATTGGTCC